GGCAGAGTTGCTCTGCCCTGGGCTTCCTGGAATCAGCTGCTGATCAGTTTCAGCAGCAGCTGACTTGGGGACACCTGTGGTAGAACAGTTGGTGTGCTGCCGGGTTGGTCCTCGCAGCGCTGAGGTGCCGCACTGCGGGGACCTACCCGGCAGCGCCCCAGCTGCTCTGTCCCAGGCATCCAGATTCAGCTGCTGTTGAAGTTTCAACAGCAGCTGATTCCAGGAAGCCCGGGGCAGAGCAGCTTTGCCTCGGGCTTCCTGTAGTCAGCCGCTGGTCAGTTTTAACAGCGGCTGAATTTGGACACCAGTTCCAACTTAAATACAAATTCAATTTAAGAACAAACCTACAGTCCCTATCTTGTACGTAACCCGAGGACTGCCTGTATTAGATTGACCAGTTTTGTTCACAAGTCTGTTCTCCAGGCCAGCAGAGACCAAAGTCATTTTGCAGGGAATATAATCAGAGTCTGGGGGTGAGAAGGAAGGAGTGCCCTCAGGCTGCTGCAGGTGATTCACTGTGGGTCATATGGAGTAACACTAGCAGGCTGCCGAAGAAACTTCTTTCGCCCTCAACAGCTGGAGGATGTATGGTCATAAATATTTCCTTTCAAAAGGAGCAAGTAAACATGAAGGATCCCAGAGAACCTTTCCTCTCCAATTCAGTTAAGTGAGTATTGCCAACCTTGAGCACATAAACGTGTCCAGCACAAAATATATAAATACATATGACACAAAAGAGACATGAGTTTAAAGCCAAAGTAATAAGTGACTGGTTCTTTTTATTTTTATCCTAATTAAAAATAAGGGATGTTGTGCAAATCATATGGTATTAGAGAAATTCTGCTTAAGCCTGTGAATTCTTTTGTAAATTGAATGCTGCATGTTAATTTGCACAAAATCCTTTGAACATTATAAAATTAAAGAAGTCCAGAAATGACAAATGATAACGTTGAATGTTACTTAACATTATCCTAACAGGGAAATAAGAACAACCCAGGAAACTACAGACCACTTAATTTAACTTCTGTGCCAGGGAAGATAATGGAGCAAGTAATTAAGGAAATCATCTGTAAACACTTGGAAGGTGGCAAGGTGATAGGCAACAGCCAGCATGGATTTGTAAAGAACAAATCATGTCAAACCAATCTGATAGCTTTCTTTGATAGGATAGCGAGTCTTGTGGATAAAGGAGAAGCGGTGAATGTGGTATACTTAGACTTTAATAAGGCATTTGATATGGTCTCGCATGATATTCTTATCAATAAACTAGGCAAATACAACTTAGAAGGGGCTACTATAAGGTGGGTGCATAACTGGCTGGATAACCGTACTCAGAGTAGTTATTAATGGCTCACAATCCTGCTGGAAAGGTATAACAAGTGGGGTTCCACGGGGGTCTGTTTTGGGACCATCTCTGTTCAATATCTTCCTCAACGATTTAGATATTGGCACAGAAAGTACGCTTATTAATTTTGCAGATGATACCAAACTGGGAGGGGTTGCGACTAATCTGGAGGATAGGGTCATAATTCAAAATGATCTGGACAAATTGAAGAAGTGGTCTGAAGCAAACAGGATGAAGTTTAATACAGACAAATGCAAAGTACTCCACTTAGGAAGGAACAATCAGTTTCAAACATACAGAATGGGAAGCGACTGTCTAGAAAGGAGTACGGCAGAAAGGGATCTAGGGTTATAGCGGACCAAAAGCTGAATATGAGTCAGCAGTGTGATGCTGTTGCAAAGAAAGCAAACATGATTCTGGGATGTATTAACAGGTGTGCTGTGAGCAAGACATAAGAAGTCATTCTTCCGCTCTACTCTGCGCTGGGTTAGGCATCAGTTGGAGTATTGTGTCCAGTTCTGGGCACCGCATTTCAAGAAAGATGTGGAAAAATTGGAGAGGGTCCAGAGAAGAGCAACGAGAATGATTAAAGGTCTAGAGAACATGACCTATGACGGAAGGCTGAAGGAATTGGGTTTGTTTGATAGCAGTTTTCAGGTATCTAAAAGGGTGTCATAAGGAGGAGGGAGAAAACTTGTTCATCTTGGCCTCTGAGGATAGAACAAGAAGCAATGGGCTTAAACAGTAGCTAGGGAGGTTTAGGTTGGACATTAGGAAAAAGTTCCTTACTGTCAGTGTAGTCAAACACTGGAATAAATTGTCCAAGGAGGTTGTGGAATCTCCATCTCCGGAGATATTTAAGAGTAGGTTAGATAAATGTCTATCAGGGATGGTTTAGACAGTATTTGGTCCTGCCATGAGGGCAGAGGACTGGACTCGATGACCTCTCGAGGTCCCTTCCAGTCCTAGTATTCTATTATTGCTTGCAACTTTCAAACGCTAAACAATCCAATTGCATTAGTAGCCTCACTGAATAGAGATGACAGTGTTTTTATCTTTAAGAGTGCTTATACAAAATTACAGGCTATAAAAAAAATCAATGTTTGCTACAATTAAGAGTTTCTCCATTTAAAAGAACATGTGAGTGATGAACTCCAGAGGATGTTTGTATAACTTCACTAGAAAGAGTTGCTGAAGAAGCCTCAGGAGAACTGACCCCCACAAATTTAGTTAATATCACTTTCAAAAAGAAACAGGATAGTTCAAACCACAGAAAAAGCTCTTGATGCCACATCTAATAATTAAAACTATACCTCTGTCTGACAAGAAATTTAATATCTTTTTGGCATCTCCAAATCAACAAGTGAGCCAAACTTGAAGAGAAGGTTGACACTTCTTTACCGATCAGTCTAGAGCAGTGGTTTTCAATGTCCAGTCCATGGACTGGCACTGGGCCCCAAGATCTCCTTGACACAGTGGGTACCTAGTATCAAAAAGATTGAGAAGCACTGCTCTGGAACATCCCTTCATCATGGTCCCTGAAATGTAGAGGTAGCCTGTGTCAAGGCGTTATTCAGATATGACTGGAAAAGCCATCAGGTATCTGCAGCAGTCAGTAGCATATTTTATTTTTTTATATTTCAGGAGCAGTGTACAAACTTGAAGGTGTAAGCTGTGTATTTGAGGGAAATAATTAAACTGTTACCATTCATTATCTTCCTCTGCCCTTCATTTCTTCTCCTGCTTCCTTTGAAACATTTATTCTGTATCCAACTACAGGTTGTACCTCCCTCATCCAGAATCCTCAGGACTTGACTGGTCCCAAATAAGGGGATTTGTTAAACAAGGGGAGGTCCCTCCCAACATGTTCCATGCTGCCCCTGGCTAGGACTCCACCTGAGCCCCACTACTGCCTGACTGGTCATGGCTCCCCAGGCTGGATTTCCGTGGCTGCTGCAGCTTCTGGGCCTGACGGGGCTCTGACTGCTGTTGCTTCTGTGGCCCTTGCCAGCCCCCTGCTACTGCCTGGCAGCAGGGGCCAGAACTCCCTGCTGCACCCCACTCCCTCAACACAGGGCTCTTGGCAGAGTCACACCCCTACACCACCACTCCTGCCCAGCAACCCGACCTTCTTATACCTGGACTCTGTGGTCCAGGAACATCGGTGGTCCTGCCAGGCCATGGATTTTGCAAAACCACAGAATCTCAGTTAAGGGAGGTACAACCTGTACCTTACTGCCATCACTCCACCTATTGAGAGCTGTCATTTCAGTTTAAATTTAGTAGATTTATTACAACTATATTCTAAGCATCACTGAAAAAGCTGGCTCTAAAACCCGAGGTTCTGAACTATTCAGTTCTTTCTGGAGGCAGAATACACTGGTTTGTCACATAGTAAGAAAGTGACTAAATCAAAACAATCTTCTAAGGTCTACTGACACTCATTTGGCTTAAGGAGAAAAGCCTACTATCACTCACTGTAGCAAAGTTTTCTTTTGATACTATTTTATATCAAAACATTAAAGCTTTCCTTTTACTAAAAGCTTCAGAAATAGGCTTCAAATACCTGCTGTCCTATTGTTTGTTTCAGAGCATTGTTAATTATGTGACAATGTGATTAATAAGGTTATTGTTTTCAAAATGGCTTCTTTTAGACAAATCAATCTTCCACAGTTTAATAAGCTATGAAGTTGAGGGGGAGGGGAAAAGAAAAAAAGACATCATTTTTATGCATTCCCAAACATTCAAATATCTTCAGAGCCTCTTGAAGTGATCTGTCCACATCAACTCTCGTGCAGAAGTTTAATAGAAGTGAAGCAAAAGGTAAGGGTACCTACAATTCATGACCTTGAATTAGGGATGTAAAATCCTGTTCAGAATATTAACTGGCTATATGTTTAACCAGTAAATCTGCCCGCAGTGCAGCAGGACTGGGGTGCAAGAGGGAATTTTGGGTAAAGGAGGGGGTTATGATCTGGGGCAGGGGTTACGGGTGCAGGGTCCAGGATGGGTTATGAGTGTAGGAGAGGATTCTGGCCTGGGGGAGGGATGCAAGAGGGGTGCAGGGAGGGAGTTTTAACCTGGAGGAGGTGGGGAGAGGGGATACAGAGGGTTTGAGTGGTGGCCTGGGGCAGGTAGTTGGGGGGAGAGTGTGGGTAGGGTGCCAGAAGCAGGCTCTGGCTAGGATACACTTACTTAGGCAGCTCCCAGCCAGAAGCTCTGCAGGAACCTGAGACAGGCTCCATGTCTGTGTGCTGGGTATGCTGCTACACGTGACTCTGCTCCAGCACAAAGAAGGAATGAGAGAGGAGAGAGGAGGCTTCATTCACTGGTCTAGTGCCAAGATAGAGATGTGTGCGCCAACTATAGCCCCACCGCAGCAAAACCATCCACTTGTCCATGGATGATGCTCCAAATCATTACTCTTCTTAGCAGAAGTTGACTTGGATCATAACTCCCATGGTGGATTTATCAACTCTCAATTGATTCCCTATTGACTGGTAACAATCTGGTGTCTCAAGCTCCCACAGAGCAATCACTGCTCTTTCACTGTCAAAGTAACTCATTTTTATGACCTATACAAGAAGGATCAATTGAGCAAAAAATTAAAAAAAAAGAGGAGTGGCTCTATGTCAGAAATTACATTCATGTGGGTCATAAGGGCATTAATTACGTGCAAGCTCAGGCTTTTATTAAAAGTTTTTTCTTTCAACTGAATAAGAGCTGAAACATCTCTTACCACCAACCATCTTCAATGAATTTGATTCAGATATGAGATAGCAAACAGTTTACTCACAGAATTGGTTCCAAGAACTTGCAGCTTTGGTTCCCCTGACTCTAGCAGCTTTGCCACCATGTGAAGGAAACTTTCCACAAAGGGTTTAATGCTTTGAGAATGGCAAGCCATTAAAAGCTGGTCCAGTGCCTCCATGGCAATTAAAACATACCTGAAAGTAAATGGAAAATTGACATTTAACATACATCTGTATTTACCTTAGTCCAAATTTTACAAAATTTGCAAAAAAAATTAAGCTGTCAGATAGGTGTCAGATACACCCACCATAATAGTCTTCATTTATTTCAGATGACTATTTCTAAAAAACAAATCAAAGAAAGTAAAAGTTCCTTGGTATTCCTGTAAAGTTTGTTACATTTTATTTATTTATTTATTGAAAGGCATAACTCTTCCAGTCACTGGACCACGGTCAGTCTACCAAACTGTACTATGACAATTACAGCAGTGTAGCTAAGCTTCCATAATTTAAGGAGACATCTCAAATCTACACAGAGCATGTTGGTGAGTGGGAGGAATGCTGATCAAGAAGTGCATTCACTGTCACTCACTCACTGTTAGTTTATGTTAACAAGTCGTCTTGTTACTTTTATATCTGCATCCCTTTATCGTCAACAATAACTTCCGGGCAGCCACAACATTCTCTTTCAGGTCCTTCCGCCAGTTTCTTTTTTTCCCCCAAAACGTTCAATATTATGGTGTCTTCCTCTCTCTATTTTCATTATATATTCCTCTCCCTTATGTTCTCTTTTGGAAATTGTTTTTCTATACTTTCCCACTGTTCTACTTGAAAATTAGAATTAATTTAACTCAAGTATTAAGAATAATAACCCAGGAAGTCAGAAAATTAGCTTGTATTAGGAATGTAAAATCCCATTTAATCAGTTAGCAAATAAACATTATGTTTAACCAGTTAACACTTTAAATGTGGGACAGTAGGGGGCTACTCCAGTCCAGCTGGGCCAGTGGTTAACCATAACCAGTAAGGATATATTAAATTAAAACAATCAAAGTATAGTAGACAGTAGGTTCTGCTGAATCCAGAAGTATGGCCTATAATTCCAGATAATTTTCATATCCAACATTGTCTACAACTCCAATATTCACTTCATATTTGAAAAAAAAATTGAATATCTATCTGCTTGCTGTCCACCAGCATGAGTAACATTCACGGTTCTGACTCTATATGTCTTGTAGACTGAACCAGAATAAAGACAGGAAAAGGCAGCTAACTTTCAGCATCTATATTTAGCCAGTGACGAAATCCCTTACCCATAGCGATGTCTGACAACATCTCTGCTCAGTCTCTCTGCTAGGTAAGCTCCAATTCGATCCAGCTTCTCTGGTGCAGAAACTGCATAGAAAGTCAGCTTCTCCATATCAGCTTTAACAAGACCATCCTAATATTAAGATAAAAAGTTTGTTTTTTTTAATTCATAGCAATTTTTTAAGCTTCTGAAAAACCTTTCATTTTTCCAATTCAAAGCACATGTTTGGGGCTAACACAAATTAGAATAGTCAACTTTGACAGAACCTGTGAAATTGTTCATTAACAATCTTGTCTAGGGCCTAAAATACAGAAATAGCACCATAAAGGATTAAGCCCAGTACTTCTCAGAGATGTACACTGGCAATGTATCCCCTTCTTTCTAACAGAGGCAATAATGGGGGAGCTGTGATTTCATTTGAGACATTTTTCCTAAGGTTCCATTTTCATTACTTCAGAGTCCTTCAAAAAAACCATTAATTACTTCAATTAAACACTTCAGTAGTGAGTTTCAAGTTAATCCCTTCAGACTCACATTCTTGTATAACTGAAATTGCAGTCTAAATGTTCCATTGCTTCAAAATCATGCCTTAACAGTTCTAATTCTCCTCTGTACCAGCCACTGCTTTCATATTTGCTGTATTACAGCTGGTGATTAAGGGGCTGAAGCAACCTGATAGTTAGAAATCTCAATACCAATTACAGTTATTGGCATATAAAGAGTACTTAGCCTTATCATATGTTAATTTTCGGAGCAGAGATAAATGGGTTAATATTAGGGATGTTAAGAAGAGGATATTTAATCATGTAATTGACAGGATTTTTAATCGACAACACAATTAGTCAATAGGGGAAGGCGCTCAGTTCTGGCTTGTGCTGGGTCCAGGAGTGATCCCTGCTGCCGCTCTGCATTTTAAATGTAGTAAGAGTCAGGCTGCCTGACCACCTGACTTTTACTACATTTAAAATGCAGAAGCGCAGCAGGAGCAATGGAACATTTAGACTGCGGGCAGAGGTTGCTTCGCGACAGCCTCCCCTGGCTCCCTCTTCCGCCAGCTCTGCCACCTGATAGAGGCAGCAGGGGAAGGGGGCAGGTTGCACCGCAGAGACGGTGCTATGGGGAACCTGCTCCTCCCCCTCCTTGCTGCCTCTGATAAAAGGGTGGGGGAATGTGAGTAGTCAACTAGGCTTATCAGGTAGTCGACTAGTTGCTTACATCCCTACTTAATATACATTTCTCATCTGAATAACTGATTAGAGCTGGTAAACACCACACTTTTCTTATATATTTTTCAGTGGAAAGGGGTTATTCATGAACATTTTTAAAACTTTTTGTGGATCTCTCACTGATATCAAGGTGAAAGTCCAGCCACAATCAGGGCTTCAACCCCTTCAAATAGTCCTATTTAAAATTATGGTTTCTTTCTGTATAGGAGCATCAGCCTCAAAGGGAGAATGACTTAGTAATTGCATAGGAATTTTTCTTCACTTTTTCTACACTTTGAAAATTTCATGTTTAATCAACTGGAGAACATAGGGATCAATTACTATGGAAAAAACACACAATGGTGATTAGATATGCTACATTATAACCCTCAGTGATAATTACATTTCTGCAGTGTTACTGGTGCAGAAAGCTGTATTCTTGTTAAAGTCTTCTTTCCTGGCTGGATAATTGATCTATGATTGTCTATTATCATCTAACTTATTTGACACCACAAAGCAGTTTAATTGGAAATTCAATGAACAGCATAGCTTTTTAAACAATATTTCAGATTCATTAATTCAAAACAATTTAAGACATATAAAAGTTACATAAAAATTTGTTTTTCCTCAAATTCTCACAAGAATGATTAACTTATGTGTGAGCAATCAAAGGAAATAATGTCCACGGTATATGAAATGAGTCATTAGAAAAAGATTTAGTGTCAAGAAGTCCCAGAGAACTAAACAGATCAGTTAGCTATCATGCAATTAAATATTTTAAACATGTAAAATTAGGCTTACAATGATTTGCAGTGTCATAAATTGTGGGCTGGACAATATTCTGTCCTCCCCCAACTTTTGCACACACCAACACAATTGGCGATTCTGAGGCATTGCTGCATCAGGGCTGCTTTTGAGAGCACACACAGCACTAGTAAGGCTAGTACAAAGATATTCAAAGATGTTTCTCTATACCAGTAGTACCAACCAAGTTTTAAGTAGTATTTGCTTTCTAAGATAGCATATAGAAAACAGATCATCAGCATCTTTCTCTTGTAGATAAACAAGACGCTTCCGAAAAATTGTTTCCTCTGGAAATAACATTTAAAAAAAATCCATGTTTTGAAGAGATCAGATCAACAGAAAGAATAAGTCTCTCCTGCAACTGATATTTTACAAAACTTCAGTAGGAAGTCTACAATGATAAAGGCAGATCTTCAAGGAAAAGCCCACACATGCTAGGGATGTGATAGTGTAGTATCAGATTCAGCAGGGAGACAGGGAGAGACAGGCGGAAGCCAGTGCTTTTAAGCAGGCTCTCTGCAAGCACCAGCTCCTGCAGAGCCACATGCCCACCCCAAGCTGTATCGGACGGGAAAAAACAGGGGGCAGGCAGAAGCCAGTGCTCACGGGGAACTGGCTTTTGAGTAGACTCTTCTTGAGCACCAGCTCCTGCAGAGCCAACTCCCTCCCCATGCGAAATTTTCAGCAGTTACATGTTTACCAAAATAAGAGCATTTTAACATCTCTAACACACGTTACAAATTCTGTCTCATACTTATGCCAGATAGGGATGTAAAATCCCATTTAATTAGTTAACTGGTTCAACTGTTATGGTTAACTGATCACATAGGGGAAACCGGGGTCGTTTCAGCCCAGCTGGGCTTGACCAACTCCCTCCGCTCTCCACGGCCATGCTAGAGAACTCCTGCTCATGGAGCACTGTGCTGAGCCAGCAGCAGACAGAGGCTGCTTTGGCTAGGCTAGATGGTACTCTGCCCATAGCGGGCCCCACAAGGCTGGATCAGCCGCCTGCCCACATCAGGAGGTTGCTGCTCCAGCCCCTACCAGTTAACCTTTCACATCCCTAATGCGAGACCTGTACACTTGGCGCTATACTATTCACATCCTTCAATTTTAAAGAAAAATGGTAGTTTTAAAGAAAAATGGTTTTATGAGAAGCAATCCCGTTCCAGCACATTCCGTTTTCCTAGCACAACAAACCCCTTACGTTGCTTAAAGTTACGTTAAGTGGAAGCTGTACGCTGAATACGGTGGTTCTAACACCGGGGTCACCAACTGGTCGATTGCGAGGCGTTCGAGGCCCCCCCCAATTTCCTCCCACCCCCGAGAAGCCCCACTACCTACCTCCAGCAAAAATTGAGGTAGTGCCGGCTTCCTGCGGGGTGGACGGAAGTCCTGCAGCTGCACGCCACTTCCAGGGGTTCTGGAAGTGCGCTGGAAAATGGAGGTAGTGCCACCTTCTTGTGGGGTGGACAGAAGTCCTGCAGCTGCGTGCCACTTCCAGGGGTTCCAGAAGTGCGCTAGCTGCTCCCCTCCCTCAGGTCTGTGGACTGCCGGAACTTGTGTGTGGGAGGGGGGGGGAAGGGTGGACCCCGGAAGCGGCACGCGAGCGGGGGCTCCCCTGTGCCGCGGGAGGGGGGAGTTGGCCCCGGAAGAGGCGTGTGCGGGGGTTTCCCTCTGCAGGGATGGGGGAGGAGGGAGTTCTGGGAGGAGGCGGGGGAAAAGGACTCCCTGCCCCCACTGGCACCCTGTCCCCTGCTGCAGAACCCTGTCCCCTCTCTCCTGTTCCCCCCTGGCACCCTGTCCTCTCTCCCCTGGGTCCTGCTGCAGAGCCCTGTCCCCACCACAGCACTCTGTCACCTGCCCCAGTACCCACTAGCACCCTTCCCCAATACCATGTCCCCAGCTCTCACCAGCACAGTTGGGGCCACATTAGTGAGGCTTGGGGGGTTTTTGGGAAAAGTTGTTTTTTTAGGGTTTTTTTTTTTTTCCCCCATCTCACTTGTGTGGCTCCAACTGGCTTTTCTGTGGGTCAGTGAACTCAAAACAAGTTCCCTGCCCTTCTCATAAAGGCAATGCAGAAACTTTTTGTGTTTGACATAGTATTTTAGTTAAAAATGAAGCCTGGCTAACAAACCCCCAATTTGGGCCAAGCCCCCATCTGGCCACAGCATTATAACACTCCTGCACCCCACCAGACCCTAGATCTGAGGGTATCATACCCCGGAACCACCTGCCCTGAGCCCTTCACATACCCCAACCCAAATTACTGCACCCTCACAGCCACAAGCCTGTGGCTTTCTTTGTTTCTCAACACCTCCCCAGCCTGGAGCTCCCTCCCTGAGCCAGCATCCCCTTCTCCACCTCCTCCTGCATCCAAATTTCCTCCCAGAGCTTGCACCTCTCACACCTTCCCACACTCAAATCTCTCATTCCCACCCCAGAGCCCACACATCCTGTCTCAACCCAGTGAGGGTATGGCTAGACTGTAGGAGTTTTTCCCCAGGATTCCAGCGATATCCTGAAACAACTCTTCCGCATCCAGGGATGCATCTGTTGTTCTGCTTTTTTTTAGTGGAAGAGCAAACATACTCTTTCAGTAACCCCTATATTCCTCGTTCCACGAGGAATAAGGTGGATTCCAAATGAAGGATTTTTTCTAACATTTGGTCCAGTCTAGACAGGCCAAATGTTGGAAAAACCTCTTCTTACATAAGAACTGGAAAAAAAAAAGGCAGTGTAGAGTGTGTAAGGGCTGGGGATAGCAAGTGATGGAGAGGAGGAGAATAGAGAGGGTGGGGCTTCAATTAGGGGTGGGGTCTTAGGTGAAGGATGGGGCAGTAGATCTTTGCTTGTTCTGAGATTTAAAAAGTGATCTTGGGTGTAAAAAGGTTGGAGACCGCTGTTCTAACTCTTTCTATTTAGAAGGAAGTCTTAAACAGACAAAACTCTAGATTTAGCCCCAACAGCACTAATACTCAAGAATTAAAGGAACATGATATGAAAGGATTTCTACTCTGTGTATCCAAATAACATTACAATAAACGTATACATGTGGACAACTAGAAAGGAAAAACAGCTGGATCATAATCCATGGAGTAAACTAAACTATATATTTCAAAATGAAAAAGACTAAAATGCTAGGCCTACAGAGAAAAGGAAATATATTAAAACTTGTGGTCATATCTGAACTAAAATCCTGTGTTAACATATTTGTGGTCAATGCTTGGATCAGAGTTTTGCAGATTTCTCTTTTACTAGAGAAGGCTCTGGCCGATTAAAACTGAATGCCTCATTCTCCAAAAAAGGTTTAAAATAATATTTTTGAAAACAACCAAAATTCAGAATTTGAAGCTGCTTTAAGGTTTAGTTAAATCATTAACTTACTTTGGGGTCTTCAGGGAATATGTTATCCACCAGACGCTTGTAACGAGGGCGCAAAGCAGCACAACAACAGCATACTCCTGGAAAAATATTTACAAAACCAAAAAACAAGTTATTATAAAGAGAAGTTTTTTAAAGCTGTACAGAATCATTTAAGAGAGAAAGAGTACAAGAACAGACCCTGTTCATTAGCAGTCAGGATCAAACCTGAAACCTCTGTAGCTTAGTACAGGTTGGACCTCTCGTCTGCCATCCTCGGACCTGACCAGTCCCGGAGGAGAGAATTTGCCAGACAACAGGAGGTCCTTGACACCAGTCCCTCGGCCCGCTGCCTCTCCCCGCGACCAGTTTCTTCATCCCAGACGGGCTGTCTACAGGCCAGCCCCACCCCCAGCTCTGCTGCTGGCCGGGCAGCTGAAGGCCCACTGAGGAACAGCACATGGCCCAATTGGGCTGCAGCAGCCCCAGCCCTGCTGCTGGGCTGCACGTGGCCCTGGCCGTGCTTATTCTGTTGAGCTGCCGCGGACAGCTTTCCCTCCCAGGCTGCTGTGGCCATAGTCCCGACCTCGCTACCTAGTAGTAGGCAACCCCAATCGTGCTGCCGCCGCCGCCGCCACCACAACCTTCTGAGCTGCTGCAGCCCAGACAGGCTTCCCCTCTTGGGCTGCTGTGGTCCCAGCCCCATTGCTAGGGGGCAGACAGTTCTGATCGCGCTCCACCAAGGCTGCTGCGGTCTTGCTGCTAGCAGACTTGCAGGGTTGCACCAGGTTCCCAACTGCTGGCCCCCCTGCTCCAGGACACACTCATCCAGGAACATCCAAGGTCATGCCAGACCATGGATGCTGCCAGACAAGAGAATCCTGAATTTGAGACGGGCAACTTGTACATGAGCATATACTACACGAGCTGAAAGCCACATCACTCTCAGACTGTAGCAGATTCAATCTTTAACTAGTCATGGTGCCACTGGAGGGAAATTGATCAGCATACCCAGAAGTCATGTGTCCATGGCAGATAAAAAACAAACACCCAAACTGGTTTTTATTTAAATCAGATTTTATGTTTTTAAAAATTCCCAATAAAATACTAAATTTCTCATTTAAAAATAACATTTACAATTAAATCTTATCACAAACAGACTACACAGACACTTGTCGCCTCACAAATATGAATTAATGGCTCTAGTCTGTCCAACCTAACAACCAGCTCTTGCTTCTTGAAAGTTCTGGGCTTTCAATTTCTGTTAGTCTGCTGAGAAACATGGGCAAAGACAGACACAGGCTCGACAGGATTGTTTTTGTTCTGTGCTTAAGTGGTAGTGAACCTGCGCCAAACAAAGCAGATTTAGTTAAGACTTTGTCTAAAGACAGAGACACACTATATAAGAAAGGATGGAAGCAGCACAGAAAGGAACATTGGAATGCACTGGAAAGGAAAAGGGAAGACATTATTCAGCACACACATGGCTTCCTATATTCCCTAGTTTTTCTATGATAAAAGTGTGTCATGGCTTTTGGGTGTAAAAGAGACTTTAGCTGGGAATATTTTGAAGAAATTTGTTTCCTGGGTTAAAAAGGAAAACATATCAGGTATAAGCAGTGCAAGATGAGGCAGGGGCTAGCTGCAAAAATGAATCATCATAGGGAAAGCTGCTAATTGGGAGAAAATGATCTGGATATGTCTGAAGAACAATACGGATCAACTTTGCAATGCATCAGTCTTCAAGATTCTCTCTACGCCTTTCAGCAGTATAATCTAACAAGTAATATATCAAGTTGTTTGCTATGTTGGATGTTGCTAGAAAAAAAAGTTTAGCTTTATGTTATTTTTGCTGGCAATTTAATCTGCCCCTAATACTTTGAATCACTTGGTTACTCTGCTGACACCATTATTGGACCTAACCATAAATAATTTAATGGAGATTGCCTATCTCCGAGAACTGGAAGGGACCTTGAAAGGTCATCGAGTCCAGTCCCCTGCCTACACAACAGGACCAAGTACCACACCTGATGAATTTGTGCCCCAAATCCCTAAATGGCCTCCACAAGGATTGAACTCACAACCCTAGGTTTAGCAGGCCAATGCTCAAATCACTGAGCTATCCCTCCCCCCTAGGTTACAAGATCATGCCAGTTACAAGATCAAGAACACATATTCCTGTTCATCCAGAAATATAATTTATGCCATCATGTGCCTAAAGTGTCCATCTGCTATGTACATTGGACAAACATCTCAGACACTTCACCAAAGAATCAATGCACACAAAACAGACATAAGACTCTCTCTGAGAGAAAGCTGTTACTTGCCATTTCAGCCAGACTGATCATTCCCTCAATGACCTTAAAACATGCATATTGCTTCAAAGAGACTTTAACTCCAGACTTCAACGAGAAGCTTCAGAATTGTCATTCATGCTTAAATTTGACACTTTATGTATGGGTTTAAACAAGAACTCTAATTATCTCACCCATTACAAAGATAGCTTCCCCAATTATCACCCCTAATATCATTACCTCACAGAAACTAAACTTCCTCCCTCACCCCCACTCTAAAATTTGATTTGTCAATTTCACATGCATTCATTTTTTTGATTGTATCACTTTGGTATATATGGTTGTGCCGATTTTCTTCCACACATTGATCTGAGGAAGTGGGTCTGGCCCATGAAAGCTCATCACCTAATAAACCATCTTGTTAGTCTTTAAAGTGCTACATAGTTCTGTCTGTTGGTGTTGAAAAGGCACAGTAAAGAAAGAGAAACAAGTGCAATGTATTTAAGATTATTCTTGGGGTCATAGGTTAGTGAACATGCCTGATTTCAATCTTGTGGCCCACTGAGATGAAGAAGGGCCACACATGTGCCCCACACACTAGCCTTGGTTGCCCGTTGATATGTTAGAACATTAGAACCTCCTACACAGGCAGAAGAAAGCATCGCCAGGAGAAGCACAGAGATTACAGCTAGCAGCTATTATAAACTTTGCAGCAGGAAAGGGAATCAACTCAGCTGGGGGGGGGGGAGAAATCCACAAATTCCATTACTGAGCATTTTTAGTCCTTTCTGCCCCAAAGACTGAAAGGATAAGGGGAAGGATATGATGTTTTTCCACATATTTAGGTTGAGAGACCTTCTTCCCTCCCACATCTCCAGTCATTAAGCTACTGATTTATAATATAATTATTGTAGTATTACATATATAGTAATACATCTGTCTGAAATTTACCAAAACATATACAATATTTAAGTACTAGCTGGCGTTACCTGGCGTTGCTCAGTGCGGGCGGTGGGGTCCTGCCAGTGGTGCCCCATGGGAGAGGTGGGTGGGAGGGGGCGAGCACGGGACCTAGGGTGGGCGGGGTTGCCCAGCTCCTCCCCAGGGCTGCAGGTGCTGTGGGGGCAATGACCCCACCGGCCACCCTAAAACTTTTTCCCCGCTACCTGCTACACCATGGGGCCGCGTCAGGGATTCCCTTTGCCTGTGCCGAGCAGGTGCCAGGCTCTCCGCCACGCAACCAGGAAGCCGGACCCCGGGCCGCTCCCAGCACCGTCGCCACCACCTCCCCACTGGGCTTGCCCCGCTGCACCTGCAAGCGCCCGCTAGCGGTGGCCGGAAGCTCCAGCCCGTCGCTCAGCAACCCTCAGCCGCCACCAGAGGGGAGGGGCCTGGTCCTAGTGACATCACGGGTGGGAGGGAGGTAGGGGCTCCCCTGCCCCGGATACTCCTGCGCAGTGGAACGGCCTGGTAGAGGCGAGTGGGGCAGTTGCTGCTTGGAGTGCCACCCTTCCCCTTGCGCCTCCAGCCTCAGTGAGTGACTGTCCCTGCCGCTTTCCCCAGGAAGTTGTTTCTCCCCGCACTGCCAAAAGTACCTTAAAACCTTCTCCTGGAGGAAAGGTTACCCCATGCAAAGTTTAGTTGCGGTAGCTCTTATAGTGCCCAAGTTATTAGCGCACAAACATACATTCTCCTTTATATATTAGATTTCAGGATTTATTGCTTTCTTTAGTTAATATGGAACAGATACTTCTGTTGGTCTGAAGACTTTTAGAGGCTCTCACATGAAAGCACAATAAGGAACTGATACTATACCCCATGCGACACCCTGTACCATATGTTCTTTTAGATAGTTACGGCATTTTTTACTAGATATGTAAAAGAGTATAGTTGAGTAGGTGACTAGGCTTATCCGGTAGTCGAGTCATCTACTCATATTCCCCTCCCCTCAAAGGCAGCAGGGGGAGAGCAGGAGCTGGTGCTGGTGGGAGCCACCTTAAAAGTCAGTTTCCCCCAGCACCATCTCCACAGTACCGCTTGCCCACGGACACGGGTTGCTGGACCCAGCACAAGCTGGGATGGAGCAAGCCCAGCTCACTCCCAGCTGGATCTGGGTCCCCTGCTGCAGCTCAGCAGTTTAAATGTACTAGAAGCAGAGCTGCCTACGTACCTAACTCTTACTACATTTAAAATGCAGAGCCATAGCAGGGGTAGCACCTTTCCTTATCAACTAATCATGAAGTCAGTACAAACTGTATTGACTACATGATTACCCAATTATTCACCTTTTAACAGGGTATCATTTGAAAGTGCATAATCTACTGAATATTATTGTATGGTTGAAAAAAGTGTAGCAACAGTGTGTATGGACTTAAGGTTCTACTGTAGGATAGTTACTGAAATATATTGTAGCTCTGGGTAACATCCACATACTAGCTCCAGAGGGTCAACAAGAACCGATCAGAGGTATTTGAAAGCAATGTGTATGTGTCTATATGGTATATACCTTGGGGCACAGGACCATTTGGGTCCATGTGAACATGTGCAGTACAAGTACTAACCCTGTAGCTCTAATTGGCTGGTTTCCAGTCAATGGGAGCTACAAGAATTGCGCTGAGGGTGGGGGGCACCACACAGAGAGATACAAGCACGCCCTCACGGAACAGAGACAAACACACCGGCCCCAGCAAGTCTGCTTTGAGTGGCTCTTTGTGCTGTGGTAGCCAGGGAGCCTGCCCTTGGCTATATCTAGACTACATTTTTTTTTTCCCAAAAGAGGATATGCAAATTCCGACCTCACTTTCGAA